TGAAAAATGTGATTCCAATCACCTACTAATTTCAGACCTAAACTATATTACTGAATTTACAGTTTGCTAGGATGTAAGCTAACAGTACAGACTGGGCTGCATCAGTCCTGTCCTGGAAGCAAAACTCCAATCAGTGTCACAAATGGAGGAGAGAAAAGAGCTTTTCCCATAAATCAAACTCTCAGTAGTTTGGAGGCAGTAAGAGGACGTAGACAATGACTCATCCTAAAAGGAGGAAGAGGACGGTGAAGACAAACAGCTGAGGTCAGAGGAGAGAGTGAATGAGTGACTCCTGAAAGGGGAGCCGGCCAGAGAATGAATGGTATTCGAGCGAAGGTCCACAGGCCGTCACCAGCTGTGTGTGTTTTCTCCGCCTGATTTTATCTCCATTATGCAGGAACTCAACATAAGATGTGGAGCAGTTGCTGTTCCTCAGTCTGCTGCTGCCAAACATGAAGCTATTTTTTTTATTTTTTTGGAACTTTTTCAAGAACTTTTCACAACAAAAGAACATTCCCTGAGCCAAGAGCAATGAAATCTCTAACAGAAATACTGATGCCACATATACAATATTTCAACATAAATGCAGCACGATAAACCAGGTCACCTGAAACTTTGAAGACCTTACAAGAGAGAACTGCACATACATACTACCATATGCAGAGATGGCAAAAGAACTCACTTTCCGTACTTGAGTAAAAGTACAGATACTTGTGTTAAAAAATACTCTGGTAAAAGTGGAAGTACTGATTACACTTCTTTACTCAAGTAAAAGTAACAAAGTACAGGCTTGTAAATTTACTTAAAGTATAAAAGTAAAAGTAGAAAGCACTTTTTTCATGCCGTTGCCTACATTTTAAATGGATGTCTGCCAATAGGACTAGATCTCCGTTGTGTTCATTTTCAATCATCTCGTCGTCCATGCTACTATGCTAACGCCACCGCCACCAAGCTGCAATGATTTGCCGCCAATGAATACCGCCGAATCTGTCGATTCAACTTGTAGCGGTGCGTCAAATGCAACGTAGATTCCCATCCAATTAGATTGAATTTGGTATTGATGACGTGAAAAATAATAACGGTAACTCCATTGAAATGATTCAAAACTAAAGTAACGAGACAATTTTTAAAAATGTAAGGAGTAGAAAGTACAGATATTTGTGTAAAAATGTAAGGAGTAGAAAGTACAGATATTTGTGTAAAAATGTAAGGAGTAGGAGTAAAAAGTCGCCATAAAAATAAGTAGTAAAGTAAAGTAAAAATATCAGAAACATCTACTTGAGTACAGTAACGAAGTATTTGTACTTCATTACATCCCATCTCTGACCATATGTACATATACATACACACAAACCCACACCCCTCCCCATAATATATACCCAGCTACATGTATACATACACATACATATACAAGTACATACCTTAGGAATACTGATGACGGAGCAGATTGCGATCCATTAGAATCACTACAGCCCAAAATCACTCACCCAAATATAATTTCACCAAACGCCATCTTTGATTGAACTTGTCCACTTTGAGTTGTAAACATGCGGTCATTTTTTCCATCATATACACTTGTTTTACCAGATTCTTCCACTCTGCTATAGATGGTGACAAAACTTGTCTCCAGATAGCCGTTATAGTTTTTTTAGCTACTAATAGTAAAATGTGCAAAATATACGTTAAAATAGTCTGGTATTATATTTAGTAAATAAAACAAAGCATTTGCAGGTATTTCTTTGTTTATAATTGTCTCTATTTCATCCCTAATCCCCTTCCAGTACTCACTGATAACAGGACAGTCCCACAGAATGTGCGTATGGTCACCAATCTTCCCACATTGTCTCCAACATAGGGCTGCTGAAGGATTTTTGACAAATCTAGAAATTAAAAACGGGGTGCGAAAAATCTTATTAAAATTATCCAACTGAATTCTTTCCACATTTGGCTGTTAGTTCCTTTGTGACTAATTTCCAGTCTTTTTTTACATTATAGGTATTTTGATAATTATTAGATGAGAGAATTTTATAGAAATGTGAAACATGTTTCCGGGTTGGAAAGGTCTTTTCTCCAATGGTAATAAAGAAGCAATTTTTTTTTATGTATTTACTTTATTCAACCTTCATTTAACCAGAAAAAAATCCCATTGAGAATAAAAACCTATTTTTTTTAAGGGAGCCCTGGCCAAGAAGCAGCAAAGTTACATAATAGAGATACATTAAATTAAATGACAGGTACATAAAAAAACATATCAAGTAAAACAATTACAGATAATTGAGGCTGCTTCAAGTTCTTTCACTTTCAACTTAAAAACATAAGGATAAAAACTCAGTCAATTTCCAGTTTCTTTGTAAGAAATTCCACACTTGGAGCTGCGTAGCTAAAGGCTTTCTTCCCTAGTTCTACGCGGGCAAAAGGAACAGAGAGCAACAGCTGATGGTTGGATCTCAGGGCAGAAGAAGCCATGCTTGTGGAAGTAAGGTACAAATGTAAGTAGGCAGTAATCCAAGAAGGGCTTTGGAAATAAAAAGTGTACCAATGACACTGCCTTCTGGTAGAGAAAGGCCAAATCTAGATACTTTATTTTTTCTTAAAATAAGTGCATTTCTTCTTGGATTGAGGCGATAAAAGAGACATTTTGCAAATGGATCAAGACAATGTACACTTAAAATAAGAAAACGCAATTCCATTGTCTTATTTCAAGTGCATTTGATCTCATTATCTTAAATTAAGAGTAAATATAGTCGTTCCATTGGTAAACTATCTCGTTTACCTACTCGAATTAAAAGTAAATACACTTAATTTAAGGAATGTTTTTACTTATTTCTAGTTCGTTTTTCCAGTGTGTACTTAAAACATACATTACAAAAAATTGACATATAAGCGAATTTTCTTGAAAAGGGGTGTATTTTGCCTCAATTTGAGCAAGTAGGTAAGACAACTTACTAATGTTGATGATTTCAATAAAAAAATAAAAATCCATCTTCTTATTTCAAGTAGTTTATACGTAATTATCTTATTTTGAGGGAAAAATAAAATTTTCTTTGGCAATCATCTCATTTACTCGCTCATTTTAAGAAGTTTTTACATTTAAGACTAAAAAACTAAAATGCTTTCTTTAAACCAAGCTATTATGTTTTTCTTATATTTAACGAATTTATGTTTGAATATTATGCAAAAATATCTTGCATGAGGGGGTTTTCCAGGTCAGGGACCCCCAAACTGATGGTGAGATGGAGCAGGGACCCTCTAATTATTTTATATATATTATATATAAATAGTGTTCTATCAAACTGGTCCTATAGTCACTCTATTACAGATGGAGTAATGTAACTAAAGTAATCCCTCCCTGGGATTATTAAAGTATTTCTGATTCCTGGTTGATGGGACAGGTGTTGTGAATGAAACGGTGCCCAGCTTGAAAGAGCTCCTGTGTGTCGCTGAATGTGTGCATTGATGACTGAAAGACATCTTCTGCCTCCATTTATCTGTTTACTACAGTCTGTTGGATTCATGTTAATGTGGAAAAATATTGCAGGAGGGAATATAAAAAAAAAAAAGTCTAATCAACCAAAACTTTCATGACCCCGACACAGTACCTGCATGGACCCCCTGTTGAAGGGGGACATCTGTAGGAGTAGTCGTGGAGAAGAAGACGTTTGGTTGTAAATGCATGGTAGCATTTATGCATTTTGCAGATGATGTTGTTCTGTTTCTCCAGGGTCAATTGATGAAAAGGGTCTTAGATTGTGGATCTTAACTAAAAAAAGTGGACTGCTGCCCGCCTGGGTTCACGTTGGTCTTAGGTTTAAGTTTGGTATCTTGTTAAAAAGTGACAGCAGGAACAGTAGAGAGACAGATAGATGTTCACTAATAAACTGCTTTCTGAAGCTATTTTTCATTCTGGGGTATGAGAGAAAAATCATATCAATACAAATACACACCAATATTTCCAGAGATTGTTGTTTAAGGAGAGTTTTTTTTTCTATTATAAAGCACAAATTTGCATTTTTTTCCACAAAGAAAATCCTAATAAACCACATTGAATGTTTATGTTATAATGTGAAAAAGGATCACTTTAACTTTAAGTAATCTAATCGCAGATTATCAGACCCATATGTTTTCAGAAACCTTCCTCCATTTTAAGGGTAACATGCCCACATTTTTTTCTATTCTTTGAAAATAAATTGTTTAAGTTCACAATTTAACAGACATTTCCCTTCTTTGCACTGTTTAAATATGGATTAAGACTAAGAATCAATAAAACATTTCTAGATCCCAATTAGATGTAGCATTTTTACTGTGTACTATAGGAACTATATAAGTAATGAATGTCAGAAACAAATATGTATAATGCGATGAATAATAAAACATCAACGCAAAACAAAAGAAAAATTATTTGTTGAGCTACTAAAGTTCCCTTCGTGTAACTAAATAAATTATTAATATATTAATGTCTGAGTTACGTTCAGCTCAGTTTAACAGGAGTCCGAGGAACAAGAAATAAATGATAAATGTTAAGCTTAAATACTTTATAAAAGCTTTGATTAAAGTCTGTGGTTCATGATTTAAATGGAAACCAACAGTGACACCATGCGGCCACAGTCAGGAAGCTGACTTTAGGCTGAACTTTAGTAAAAATACGAAACATTTTGAAAATCTACGATTAAATATTATTTTTTCTGTAATAGAAGAACAAATGCTTCTTTATTGACTTTATAAAAACTGTACAGAGTAGCTGATTCAAGGTGTGGTCCGCGGAGCAGAAAAATAACTACTTTTTGCACTTTTTCTTAAAAGTTATTTGAGTTTCGGGTCAAATATACATGTTATTTTATAACTACGTTTTGCTTTTCGATGTTTTTTTCGCAAAGAATCTCGAAAATCGTCATAAAACACACGAAGCAAAGAAACCAAAAAATAAACTACATTACCCAGAAGCAGTTATCACGGAAATTCCCCCGGAGCTTCTCGTTGATTGGCTGAACAGCAGATGACATGTGATTGGCTGGTAGAAGTTACCCGGATGAAGTGAGTCTATAAATGTAGGACGGAGCCAGAGCGGGTCGAGTGGCTTTTAGCAGAGGCTAACGGAGCTAGCTACAGATCCAGTGTTCGGTACCGCGGTGTTTGGGGACATTTGTGGAAAAATCTAAAATGGTAAGTAACGCTGATTATAATCGGTAAAGTTTCAGCGGCGCTATAATGTAGCAATAGTTTAAAACAAGCTAGATTTCGGCTTTTCCCTCCAAATTTATTTTCGTCGCTACACGTTAGCCGTTAGCTTCCGTTAGCTTAGCATGCTAACGGATAGCTTTTATAAAAGCAGCCTGTTTGATAAATGATAAGAGTGAGTTAAGCCTCTTTTCTCCGTGGAAAGCCTGTAACGGGGCCGTGGGGTTCGGGCTGCGGCTAACCGCTGCGGCTCTCTGTGTTCCAGGCTGGCGGGAAGGCTGGGAAGGACTCCGGAAAGACCAAGACAAAGGCTATTTCGCGCTCACAGAGAGCTGGGCTGCAGGTCTGAGCACATTCATTCATTGCTACAGCCCCACGGACTTTCCCGCTCAGGTTTTAACTCTTATTTCCTTGGATCTCCACGCAGTTCCCAGTGGGTCGTATCCACAGACACCTGAAGTCCAGAACCACCAGCCACGGGAGAGTGGGCGCCACAGCAGCCGTGTACAGCGCGGCTATTCTCGAGTACCTGACCGCTGAGGTAGGCTGATCTGCTCCGATCGCTCTGTGGGATCCACCCTCTGCTCCTTTTCAGCATCTTGGTTTTCCTTCCAGGTCTTGGAGTTGGCAGGAAATGCTTCAAAGGACCTGAAAGTGAAGCGAATCACCCCACGCCACTTGCAGCTCGCCATCAGAGGAGACGAGGAGCTGGATTCTCTCATCAAGGCCACAATTGCTGGTGGAGGTATGGATGTCTGTGTTGGTGCTCAGCCTTCCAGTGGTTTGTTGATGTCTAACGCCATCTTTGTTTGCCAGGTGTGATTCCACACATCCACAAGTCTCTAATTGGAAAGAAGGGCCAGCAGAAGACCGTATAACCGTCCGGGAGGGGCTCTGGATGCTGTGCCGTCTCAGGATTGAAGTCTGCATCTGAAGTGATTAAATGTCATGGTTCCAAACATTACATTTTTATGGTTAAGCTTGCATTTATTCACCTGGGTTTCTATTTGTTTTGTTTTTTCTCTCCGAGTGGCTTCAAAGAAGCTCTTTTCTCCCACTCTGTTTTCCTGGTGCTGCAGTTTGTTATCCATGCTGTAAAGCATTCCCATGTTTAGTGGTGTTTTAATAAAGCCCTTGTTGGGCAAATGTTCTGTTTTTTTTCCTTTTGCTGTCCTTGACTTTTTCCTTCAGCTGCATGTGTTTACCGATCTGTTTGGAGTTGAAGTTTAATGCTAAACCTGCTAGCTTCATATACAACGAAAGAAGTTTCTCTTTAACAAGCAGCACAACACAGGAAGGTGAATCTATTTTAGTAGCTGATGCAAATTGACATTCATGATGTTGGCCTTAAACTTTCAATTTATAGATGTAAAAAAGAAAATGCTTTAAATGACTGACCGGGTAATTTGCAATCAATGTTTGCACGTTTACCAAAACTGCAGCAATATCTTCACTGGTGAAAAAGGAGCAGCGGTGGATTAAAAATTAGCGGAAACCTCAAGATAGGCAGGACCAGCTGCAGGGGACTAAACTTCAGGATAATCTGGTCATTTCTACATTAGTTGCCCTTTAAATGCATTTGAGCTTTGATTTGTCACATTTTTTAGAAATTAAGTTAAAATTGGGCTCATTTATAAGCTAGGTGTAGAAACCTAGTTTTCTTCTAAATCATTAAAAGGGTTAACTGTAGGGCTACAACTATTTATTTTGCAAATTGATCTGTCAATTTTTTTTATTTACTTGAATAGCCAAAGGTTCCTTAAAGATTTAGACATTCAACAAGGCGAAGCAAAGTTTTTCACTTGATTTCTGGGTAGAGTGATGCACGAAAACTAATTGGTCTTAAGGCAGCTGGAAACCAGCCTCCCTCCCTCTACTCTTACAGATCGACCTTGTTAACTTTAAAGAATTAAATTCAGTAAAAACTAAGTTTCTTTGCTATCAGCTTTTTACAGAAAATCTTACCTTTAAAGCTGCAGTCAGTTTTCTTTTCACTGAAGCTTAGATGACAACTCTTGCATTTAAATTTGTCTACATGGTTCAACTTTTTCTTTCAAAGTACCGTGTTTTAAGAAAACTTTTTTCGACTTTCAAATACTGAAAATTGTTCTTGGCTGAAAAAAAAATCTCAAAGTTGCACTTTCCTTCTATTGCCACAGGAAAACAGACATTTCTCTTTAAAATGTAAAGCGTTGCTGTGTCCAATTTGCTACCTTTCTGTCTGTTAAGTTACCTGCTGAAGCGGTGCTTCAAATGGCCTCATATTTGTTTTTATCTCCATAACCTGCAGCAAGAAAATGCATTTTTCTCAAAGAGTCGCCATGTTTTTTTTAGATTACAAATACATTGGCTTTACACTATTTCTACAGCCCCCCAAATAACTAAGTTCTGGTTCCTTTTCTTTGTGATTCTTAATGAGCATAAAGACTGAGGAAAAGAAATGGCCAATGCATCGCAAGAATTATATAACATGAAGCCAGATACCAGATACACTATTTCTGACATTTTGAATTAAAAAAAAAAACTTATTGGATGGGAAGAGAAACATCTTCAAACTTGTAAACAAAGTTCAGGGGCTTATTTTTATTTTTTTGTACTGTAAGCAGGCGACCTCTCGGCTGGATTTTCAGTGAGAAAATGAACTGATCAGGTATCTGCAGGTTTATTCAGTCTCCATCAAACACACCATCTTAAATAGACACAGCTGATGGACTAAACCATTTGCATGAAATTTAACTCCTCGCTTCCATCTAAAAACACACATTCAAATCAAATATCTATACAATGTTATTCTTTTATAAACATTTTCAAGTGGGAATGCTTATGCATTCCCACTTATTGTTGTTCACTTAAAAATTTTCTGACTCTAACTAGTCCCGCAGTTTTCAACCGATTTCAACAATTTTGGTATCAAAACGTTCAGCTTGTTCAGGAGAATTGTGCTATGTCTTTTGGTAAAGATATTTTTTGTAGTTTTCGCAATATTCTGCTTTTTCTGCGTTTTTTTGTCCCATTGAAATGCATGTAGAATTCTTAGATTTCAGCTAAATTCAGCTAAAATGAATTTATTCCATCCTGCTGTATCTTGTGGTAACTTCAGCTATTATACTTTTTTAAATATTTAGCTTTTTATGACTTTTTCTGTCCCATTGAAATACATGTAAAACTTCAAAAATTCCACTAAATCTTCAGCTACTTCGACCTTTAACTACTTCAGCATACTTTCAGCTAGAAACACCATTCAACTTTTAAAATGTTTCCGTATCTTTCTGCTATTACTGTTTAACTCAGCTTTTTGCTAACTTTTACAGTTTTGCTTCAGTGAAGCTTCAAACATTTAAAGAAAATTTAAAGATTTTCAGATTTATAATGGAAGTCTATGGACGGAATTCTTCAACTGCTAGAGTGCGTGCTCTAGCTTTTGAGCTGTTCTGGTTTTTCCGAACAAATTCTTCTCACTTCCTCATTTTTCACTCAATTGAAATAAATTTTGCATCAAAATGTAGGGATTTTTGTCAGGATTCAGGAAATGTAACCCTCATTTGTGTGGCATTTACAGTTTTCCGACAGTTTGGCCCAGACCACGAAGAAGTCCACACTTCCCCAATAGAAATCCAATGAGAGACAATCCAAAACGATACATATTTTCGTATCGCTCCCATTTATTAACTATTTGATGTACTAACATGAAACTTGGTATGGAACATCTTCAGAACCTTCTAGCACTCACATTGAAGGAATTTCTTCAATATCATTTATGGTTTAGCTGTTTAGCTAACTTGTTCGTGCATAGGAGAACGTTGATTCTGAGAAAAATCCTCAAACTCAGAAAATGCACATTTTTACATCGTCACCGTGGCCAAATAGTTTTTAGTAGAAACATGAAAGTTGGCACAGTCGAAGCCCAAGGATGGCTGACGCCAACAGTGAAATAATTTTTTGAATACCTTTTACGGTTTTGGCTCACCACTCGTTTGTTCGGAGGGGAAGTTTTGCTTCTGACAGCTCACCTCTACCATGGAACTCCATGTTATTTAATGAGACCAGCCGGATTTACAAACCTTTATATTTCTCCTTCCCATTAAGGCTGTGAATGAGCTACAGCCATGAAAGTTATCCCAATCTGAGACAAAGGATAGTTGTCGCTTAGACTGAAAGAATTTTTTAGATACCATGTACAGTTTGTCTTCAGCACTCGTTTGTTCGGAGATGACATTCCCATTCAAAAAAGCCTGAGAGGAAAGGAACGAAAGTGAAGCGCATGTCTCTCTGTCACTGACAGGCTCGTTAAGCATCGTCAAGGTAACCGAGCTTCAAAGGGATTTTACCTCCGCCACTTTAAACAGCACATTTTAATCTAATGGAGGGAGACAACAATGATTTAACATTTGGAAATGAATACAACATGACTACTGGCCATCACCCTTCCTTTCACACGCAACTCTGATAGACTTTCAAAATAAGACTCCGGGGACCCTTCAAAATAAAAGCCCCTACATTAAACTCATTTTTTTTCTCCCAGCACATTATGACCCAAACTCTACCAGCTTGATTCTATTAGACTCTAGGGACCTTTTCACAACATACCCCAGAGCGAATTTCACAATAAGTCTCCCATTTACGCTCTAACACAGCATCTATTCACCCAATAACATGGAAAACCAGTGATTTCATATTTAGAAATGGATTCTATATCACTGCTGGGCATGACCCCTGCCTTTACACACATTCATGACAGTCTTTTGAAATAAGACTAAAGGGAACCTACAAAATAAAAGCCTCTTCCTTACACACACTCATTCATTGTGCCGTATGGCTTGTAGCTATGACCCAAACTCAACCAATTTCTTCAAATTACACTACCAAGGCCTGTTGACCACACACTTCAGTGCATATTTCTTAACCAGGTTCTATGATTTACACTGTAATAAAGCATCGGCTAACCTCGTAACATGCAGCCTAAGCCTGCCAACGGTGTTTTCATCACCATGGCGGCTCGTAACATGCAGGTTAGTTTTTTTTAATAAATTCAGCTCCTTAAGTGGTATTAGCTCTCTTTCTATAAGCTTCTCTCTCTGTCCTTCCTCTGCTTCTCGTGGTCAGTCTTGCACATAGGTTTGTATATTTTCAATCCTCTAAGGATGACAATGTTTTCTTTATGCTGATCAACTGACACATTTTAAATCATTTCAAATTGTTGTGCCAAATCTTGACATTTCCACAATTTCAAAATTTTATATAGTTATTCAATACCATCTTCCTCAACATTTTACTTCCCATCCTTGAGCTACTCATATTTTCTTCAACCAGATAAGATTCAATTTTTTCTTTGTAATTTCTTTTCTGATTCAGCTAATTTTATATTTTTCAGCCTATGCTGAGAACTTTCGCTTAATTTTGCTCTTTTTCTGGACAGGAATTAAGCTTTTCTGTTTGCTGCTAATTCATAACACGCCTGACATGTTTCTGGGCAGTAGGTAAACCCCCCTTCAAAATTTCTTTATACATTTTTCTAGAAACTTGGGAGATATTATATTAAGACCATTCTACTGCACACATTAAAGACATTTTTTGATATTATGTATGGTTTGGCTGTGCAGCTTTTAAGATGAGTTTGTTTCTGCCCTTTTACTGCCAAATGATTCTACCCTACAAAATCTTCAGATGATTCAATGGTTTTCTGCAGTTTGAAGTTTCTAATGGCTTCCTATCACATTTTCATATGTTCTGCAGTTAATTTAAGCTTTTTTCATTCAGCAAAAGCATTCCCACTTGCTGTTTCTCCGAAACAGCTTTTTCTAGTCTGATTTAACTTGCACCCAAACACTATAGAAGTCCCACAAACTGTGCACAACTCCCCCATATTTTCCATGGTGTCTGGACCCCCCAGGGAAGTATTTGTCCAAACACCCTGGAGAGGACATAGAAAAGACACGTAAGTCACTTTCTCAGCACCACAACACTTCCTTCACACTCACTTCTAACAGACTTTACACTGACGTTTCTACACAGTAACTACTGCTTGCTAAACATCAATTCTCTTTTCCACAGCAAACCTCCCCAATTATTAACGGAGAGCAGCTTTGCAGAGCCTGGAACAAAAGGCTGCATGCTAACTACTAAAATACACAATAAATATTCTAT